AATAGTAAATGAGTGTACACCAATTAGCTAAAAGGAGCGCGAATCGTGAATAAAGTATTAATTTCGTAAGCACTGTCGCTTAAATCTTTAACTTTATATTTCTAGAATGTCATGCCTGTGTCACACTCTGTCCAGGAAATCTCCAGAGGACGTAGTATTCAGCCAATCGGATATGCGGTACACGGCCACTTGCATAATTCACCAGACGACACGTAAAGGATATCGAGCTTGGGCCTCGGCTTGACCAGAAACGAGAGTTGCTCGGGAATCCTGGGTACTTTTATGAGGCTTCTTTTCTAAAGAGGTTAGAGAGAAGGCACGTAGGATGTGTATGTACTTTGGAAAGGTAAAAAGATAAAGAAACGTAAAACTTCCTGCGGACTCTAGCTTTGACTGAACTCCATCCCTAACTACCTATTTTATAGAAGAATAACGACCAACGATGGACTCGAGTTTCTTCGGGCCACGACTAAATATATAGAGTATTTTCAAAATTTTAAAACATCTTTCCGGGTTTAAAAATCGACAACTGAACTGAATTTTACAACTTTCGTTAAGTTTTTTACTATTCTGTCCTGTTGATAACAAGACGGGAGTTACGTCTTCTCGCCGTACTGCCTGTAGCTCCTAGATAATTTTACGTATTCCACAAGATTATTCAATAGACCAGGTACGTTCAATGGACCATATGAAAGCATAAATACGAAAAATAAGAGGAAGAAAAAAGACGACGTGTAAATAAAGATACATAGGTTCCCTTATGAATATCTTTGGACGCCATTGTGTCGGTCAGCTATGCCCATTGAAGACGGTTTCTATATTATTTTCTCGTCTCATGTTTCTCCACAGCTTTACCCTTGTGTCTGCAAACTTTCTGAAGTCATTTTCACGTCTGTTCAAATTTGCTTTAGATAGAATTTTACGCGAAAAGTTTCACCATGAAAATCATTCCTATTATTGCTAAATAATTCGTGATATACTGGGATTTAAAGAGAAAATAAAAGCAACTATTTTTACACTTATTCAATAAAACTATCATAATATTGTATTAGGAATGTCTGAAATATAGAAAGAAATATTTGTTAATGTAATTGAGTGAAATTATTATATCAGGATTTTCATAGTTCAGAAGCTAGGCTAGACTGCGAATACTGCGTAGCTCTTAGCTTGGCATCGTTTGCCAAAGATGAATTTATCGAATATCCCGAAAATTACTAGATAAATTTTATTGAGACATATATGGAAATACATCTTTGACAAACGATGCCAATTACCAGGTCTCACCACGTGGAGGTGACTATGTAATCGAGACCCGTGTCTAAACGCATGATTAAAATATAGCACAAAACATGGTACTAAACGTAGTAGAATACATAATACAAAATAAATCACAATGCGAGTTTCAAAATAATTACCAAAAATGATTACAAAAAAACAATACCGAATATAATACAAAATTTGTTTTAAAATAAGTAAAAAAATAAATTACAATTTAAATTCCACAATGTAGTATACTTCACATCTGCAACAAAGGAAGAACAATTAACAATGACATGGAAATAAAAATTGAGAGGGAGAATTGGTAGTTGTATTGGATTATTGTAATATGAAATAAGAAATAATTTGTTAAAAACGCTCTGCCATTTTGGCGTTTTACGAGTCGCAGCAACAGTGGAAAAAATTACGCGAGCAGCCACATAGGATACTATATTTTTCGGGACTGCTTTTTTCTATGTTATATGAAAACGGGATAAACGTTTAATTCGCGATCGCGATATATCGAATTTTAAGGGATTTCGACGAATCCTCGATTATAATGTGCACAGTATGCACAGTAATCTTGAATGAATGTGCAAAAATGAAAAATTTCTGCAAGTTATAATGAAGCAAAGTAGCGAGCATAGTGACAAAAATAGTATTGAAAATAATAAAAAAACTACTAGTGTCTTCTTGTTGAAAATTCTATCTAAAAATCGGGATTAGTAATAGCTAAGGTGCTCTACTTGGGGTGACTCTACTTTTTCATTGACTCGACAAAAATTTATGTCAAGGGAGAAGCATGTATTAATAAAAAGAAAAAAAAAAGAAATCAAATTATTACTCTAATTTTGGAAACTACTCCGAGCGGAATGCTTTCTTATACTTGTATTCCATAAAAATAGCATGAAATATGTATGACAATGAACGAAATGATTTAAATTTCAATTTAGATGTACAAGAAAGCCCTAGCTTGATCCAACAAATATATCACAGAAATATATATTGCACGAGTGCTATCGTACATTAGTACATTAGGACTAGTGGTCACTATGCTCGGTACAAAAATGATAAAATACAACCACAGTGCCTACATGATGGATAACCACAGGAATTGTAAACATGCGACTTACCGACTGTTCACTTCTTCATATTGAAGCAACTATGGATCAACTGTCGCCTTCGTCCTAGCATTGGCATCGCACTGTCTTTCGCTTGTCATCTCGTTAATGTAGCGATGTCAACATTGATTGTAATTCATTCTTCTTTTCTTGGGACACTTTCAAAACACACTTGCGATATCGCGGACACGTCCGAACTTGTTTCGGTCGGTATCGAGGAAAAATATCGCGCGTAAACTCATACGAACGTAAACGTTTTACAATTTAATTGTGATAAAAATATTTAATGTCCACTATCACTAATGAAATTAAAAAATTAATATAAAATATTTATTTCAGTATTAAATAGATAATTAGAAATAAAAAATGAAATAAAAGTTAAAGTAAATAAATTAAGTAAATGAATTATTAAATAATAAATATAAATAAATAAATGAAATGAAGTATTAAAAATAATTAAATAACTTAAATAAATTATTAAAAGTAAAAAATAAATAAATTAATTAAATAAATTATTAAAAGTTAAACAAAAATAAATAAGTTACATAAATTATTAAAAGTGGAAAATAAATAAATAAATTAAACGAATAATTGAAAATGAATAATCAATAAATAAATTAAATAAATTATTATCAATGAAAAACAGATAAATAAGTTAATTTAGGCAATTCAAGTTTCGATGTATGCGTCATGACGACCGAGAAGCAAGTGACATGTCCTGTGACCGTTGGGTGTCTATATGGACCGGTGTCTTTACCGAGGTCAAACGAAAAGTCACGAGGTCAACCGATTTACCAAAGATACGTGAACCTTTTCTAATAGTTACTATATATGCAAATATATGCTTCGTATAGTTTGCAATAACAATGTGTACAGTAATTAACATATGTACAATTATCTTTTCATATAAAAAATGCCATTTACTTCCTTGTAACAACAATTTTTAACGTACAAGTGTTTAAAACGACTTTTTAAAGTTAAAAAAAGGGAATAGTGGATAAAATTGATATTAACCAAAGGAATCCTCTATGTCCCATACCTATAATCTATCTTAAAATAAGCTAAAATTCGTGTTTTTAATAAATTTTACAAATTTACATAACTTATATATACATATTACCTAAGAATGTTTCCACACATTTTAATCGTGCATTCATAGAATTCTTTAAAAGTATGTTCAATAAAGGTGATCATAATGCTCATGTATCATATTTATAATATATATATCATGTAGTGGAATTTAAGCACATTTTAATTTATCATTTTCGTAACAGAAACATATTTGTATTTGCTACATTGTTATTAATAAATATAAGACACTTCGTTTGATATTCTATATCGATAATTTAGCACATGGCTATTTCAAAGATGAAGTATTTGCACACGACAAAAACGCATGGCTTGATTAATCGTAGTCAACTTCAAGTCGATCAGAAATCGAACAACCGGTACAACGTGGTGGAATATTTTCGCGCGCTAAAACGAAACATTCAATATCTCCTCAAAACGTTTCGTGAAGTAGTGATATCACTAATTGATGTTTTAAATGCTGAAACCGACGAAATATATATTTAAGAACAATAATGCGCCGTATCGGGTATTACTTCGTAACATTGGAACTACAGGTTACTTTTGCAACATTGCCGTAATATTTACAAATGCATCACAGCACAAGTTTAAGAAACTGTGAGAAACTTACTAAGATCCAAATATTTAACTACCAACATTTTACCACATTTGGTGGTAATATATCAAATATGGAAAGAAGTGATGTTATACAGTGCAAGTCGAATAACGATACATGTGCGAAATGAAGTGATATGAGTACGAATCGTATAATGCAATAGCATAGTCACTTATTATCCATTGTAGATTCTAGATTTCAATTGTCCATTGGGATATTTGGTCAACCTTTCTCAGAGTAGGCTCGTTTTAAATAGTTTACCTACTTTTTCTTTGTTTTTGACTGCTCGTTTGGGAAAAATAGTGACGGAAGTGCAAATGTCCATAACAACCTAGTGCGTCGTTAGCTATTATTTCTTATATTTTTAAAATTTGGTCTGCTGATAAGGATTTTTCGATTTACTTCGCTAGAATAATTAGTTAACAAAAATTAATAATTGAAAAGAAATTAATAAATAAAAATAAAGTAATAAATTAAATTAAATTAAATTAATAATCTAAATTAGTGAACAAATTTAATAAACCACGTTAACGGAATATTTGTCTACGAATAATCAATGTTTGCTTCACGATGACCGACAGACAAAGAACTTCGTATTTTTCGCTTTACTATATTATATGTGAATTAAAAAAATTTGGTTAATTACTATACATGCTTTTTTAAAAAGGTGGGAACTATGTTTTTCATTTTTGTGAATAATAGCTTTTACCTCTGAAATATCCCTGGTAGCATATTCTCATAAAATAAACGTTAGTTAACAAAGATTTGTGTTTCCTTAATTCCATTTATATTCACTGTATTAAACGTGTGTATATTAAAAAAAATATATATATTGAATAGCTATAAATTATAATTTATGGAGGAAGATAAGGAAAAAATATTTGGATTTTAAGGAATTCTCTTCATCAATTTTATTATCAATTTCTATTGAAACTATATTATCTAAAGTTAAAGAATTCTTTTAAAGTTGAACCAAGAGATACAAAAAATTCACTGATAGATTTAAGTGTTGATGATTCTTGTTTACAATTTAAGGAATGAATAGGGGATAAACATGGTGCACTGTGTACTTCAAAATGTACACTTTCCTCAGCTGTAATTTCCTGTAAAGAAGTTGTATCTAAGTTGTTATAGTACAAACATTTTTATATTTATAATACCAAAACTTACATAATTGATATTTTCTTTGTAAGACTTAATATATTCAGAATCATTATCATTTTTAAATCTTTTAAATCTTTTTAAAAGTACCAAACAATTATTTCCTGATTGTGTATCTACATCTGCTTCATTGTCTTTCTTCAAATACATAATTTTTGATGCATCCAAATTAATCTGTTAATTAAATATCCTTTTAGAACTTATTATGATAGAAAGGTACAAGTTTCAAAATAGCAAAAACTGTCATAAACCTCGGTTTCTACATTTGATCTTTTTCTTTTACCAGCAACTATTGGTATATTTTCAGATGGAAATAAATTAAGATTATTATGTCTTAATGGCTTTCTCGAACTGCTATCCTTTCTTAATGTTTGTCTACATTCTGCATACTAAAATATAAAAATGATGTTAGTAGTTGTTAAATATTAACATTTGATAGAAGTTATTATTTCTTGACAATACCTTCTTTATAGAACTTTGTATTGCTTCCATCCATAAATTACTATCATCTTTCTCAGAGTAAAGTAAAAGTGTTTCATTTAAACAAGTAACACAAAATAATCCACCACTCAAAACGGATTCAATTTTACACTTATTTAATGGTAAGACGCAACATACAGTCAATGAAATTTCTGGATCACCTTTACAATACAATAAAATATCATTTAAAAGAACAAAATATCTTCTGTATGCCGAATTTCTTCGTCTTGAAACTCTCATTAATGCTCCTTGTTTAATCAATTTTCTACCAGGTTTTACCAAATTAATTGGGTTTATAATACATTTTTGAAGTTTTAATAATTTTTGTGTTTCTTCATATTGTTCAATGAAGGTATTCATATGTCTTGCAGCTTTTTCAACTTCTACCAAACATGCTATAAAAATAAATAATTTATTATGCTTATAATATGTAAAATTGAAATAACAATATTCTATGATATGAACATTGTTTTACAAGTACCTTGTAAAAGATTATACTCTTTGTGTTTATTAGATGTATGTTGCAAGACTTCCCTTAAAAGTAATTTATATCTGGGTACCCTTTGTATTGGCATAATTAATAGTGAAGGTAATTTTCTTCCAACTTCTGGTCTTGTTTCTTGTTTAGTAATAAAATCTTTAAATACTGCATCATTTTCTTGTTTAGCCTACAAAAAGAAATTTTTTTGCATAGATAGAAAATAACAAAATAATAATGTAATAACAAATACCTGTAGTAATGATAAAATTTGTTCATAATCATAAGCATAAACAGAATATAATTTAAAAAATGGAGCAACTTTATGAAATGCACTTGTAATATTTTGAGGATCCTCTTTTAGTTCTTTTATTAATTCTCCACTAACATTGTATAATGTTTTTATGTTCTCGGACAATGTTAAAAGCAAATTGTGGTTTAATAATTTCCTTTCAAACATAGGTTGTACAAAATACTGGAAAAAGAATATAGATATTTATGTTTTATAATTATTAATATATAAATACATTTAAAGAATACCTCCATTAAGGTTTCTAAATGTCGTAAATATGTAACTTCTGTAGTAAAAATTTCTTGAATAGCTTGTAACCTTAACCTTCTTTCCTTTTCTTCAAATTGCTTCTGATTATCTTCATTTAAACTGTTGAGAACTAAAAATATAAATATTATAAGTTTCTTGTTTTACAATTAATTACTAAAAAGATAAGTTATTAATTATACAAATTATCTCAAATTTTAATTTAATAAAGTAAGTTGTTATTTATATACCTTTCATACGACTACGCATACTTAAAACATTTCTATCATTTATAATTTGCTTTAATTCAAAACTAAGAGGAGTTTGTGGTGATCTTGAAGAATTCATAATTGCAAAAAATATTGTTATTTATGCAATTAATAAATAATGTATTTTATCTTTTCTAAGTTATATTATGAATATGTTTGCATATTTATTTAAAGATGCTTTGTTTGTTTGAATATATACAAAATTGTAAAGTGTTTAATTATTATATTAACTTCATGCTTTTTTACAAAATATTATATCTGTTAAAATTCAAAACTTCAATATTTTTACAGAAGCTTTTATCTTCTAAATGTTTTATTTAAATTTAAATTTGTTGATAAATTTTGTGCTGCTGATAGATCAACTACAAAATTTCACTAAAAACTAGTAGGGAATAAAAATTTTCAAATTGGTGAGACATTTCAAATTTATACTATGATGTTGGTCATATTGAAATAGTTAGGGACTACTATGTATAAGTTGCGGAATATTAAAACATATGATGATGAAGTGACAATTTGGCGAGAATCAAATTTGATAATACTTGGAAGCTGTATTCTTACAAATCTGTCATTATCTATAGTGACACACAAGAGAACGATAAAACGTCAGAAATATAACGTTACAGTACAACATTCATCGTTTAAAGAAGGTATGATATGGTTGATATGTATCTTAGAAATTTTACGAATTCGTGTAACAGCTGTGAAATGTCACATTTATTGAATAATAATTGATTTAAAAGGATGCATATTTATAGAAAATATAAAATATATACCATTGTTCATATCTATTTCTTATATGTAATTACTTAATTACATAACAAAATGTGTAATTGATACGTCGTTAATTAAATGGTATTATATCTCACTTGGACTATAAATAAAAATAAATTTTATATATAAGTTATATTAATAATTTTTAGATATTATTATTTATATAGACTGTGCAGATTTGATTACCAAATAGGTTATGATGCATGCTGTGCTTGTGCAGTATATGTTAGGTTATGTTCTCTTCTGCTTATAATTGAAATTATTAATAATAAATTCAATATTCAGGTTTTGCACTTTAAATTCACCTTTTTGCAAATCAAATTCATCCTTTTATAAATCAAATTCACCCTTTTGCAAATTAAGTATTTCTACATAAATATTTTATTTAAAAAAACATCAAATATAAATTACTCAGTAAGAAATTAAAAATTTTATTAAAAAGAAATATATTAGATATGTATTTAAAAGTAATTTCCAATTCATTAAAGTACATATGTATTTCTTGAAAAATGTTTCTTTGATGGGGTTTATCATTGGAGAATGTGGCGGTAGAAAAAGTAAAGTATTGCGTTGTCTAACCAAGATCAGAGATTTCCTTTGTCTTTTATGCAATACATATGTACGTTAATGAATTTGTAATTAATTTTAAATAAATATCTAATATACCTCTTTTTAATAAAATTTTTTATTTCTTCCTGGTTAATTTATATTTGATGTCTTTTTAAATAAAATATTTATGTAGAAGTAATTGATTTGCAAATGTGTGAAGTCAAAATGCAAAATCTGTATAAAATTTATAATATATAGAATTAGATGAAATTTTATTTTCTATAGATATAAAGAGTGTCTAAATAGATTATCTATATTTATAATGTAAAATTAATCTAAAGTAAAATAAACAAGTTTTTAAATATTCATTATAAGTGAACTTCAATTGTATAGATTAAATAAATTTTTAATAGTTTTAATGATTATTTATTTTAATTATGATTTAATGTCAAAGAATTACATTTTCCATTCAAAATTTTTCTATTACATTAATCAAGTATAAGTAGATAAAAGATAAAAATGAGACAATAAAATTTATCAATCATATAACAGTATATGACAATTTTCATTTAATATTATTATTATTATTTGTTTCAGGATATTCAAGAATAGATTTTTATTTGAAAATGTACGTATACAACATGTATAAATACTTTTTAAAAGATTTCATACATGGAAATTGTATGAATATAAATTATTAGCTATTATATCAATAACTAAAAACAAATATTACATAATATTTAAAATGCCACAAGTGGATGGTGCTACAATACCAGTAACAAGTCAGAACAGTGCAAGTGTACATAATAATCGTAATATAAGCAATTCAACACGATTAACCTTGAACAATATGAATACTGCTAGGAATAATAATAATCAAAATCCATTGGTTAATGCAAGGGATAGATTGTTTTATGCAATATTTACTAAAGCTGCAGTAACTTATGCGAGGACAGTTCCACGATCTGTTAGAAGATTTATAGAATTTATAGTTTTATTGAAGGTAATATTATTTTTAGAATAATTTACTTATTAGTAGTTAGATAAGTATTATTGTATAGAAGTGAAGTAATTTTAAATTATATATTTTTAGGCTATAGCAGCATTTTTTGTGTTGGCTTATATTCACATAGTATTTTCACGAGCACCAACTAATTGTTTAGAACATATAAGAGATGATTGGCCTCGTGATGGCATATTAAGAGTTGAGATACTTAGAAATGGGGGAGAAGATTATAGTATAGAAAAGAGTTATGCAAAAGAAGAAAAATTACGACAAGAAAAAGTTGATGATTTAACTAGTGCTTTTGGAATATTAACTAGAGATGGGTAAAAGAATATGCAACATCTGTTTTTAGTATAAAACATTTAATATTTGTTTTTCTTATTATTCTAAGTTATGTCTTTACTTTATTTCTAGCTTTATCAATATTGAACCATCCACTATTGATGAAGAACGTGACACTACTAATGCATCAAATGAAGAAAATCGTGATAGCTTACCTGAAAAAGAAGTACTTGTTACAGATGCTACTATGCATAAAGGAACAGATACAATTTTAAGTACTACAAATGCAACAGATCCATTATTATCTACTAAATTCTGGAATGAAATGAATATAGACAGTATAGAAGTAAATATAAATAAATAAATATTGCGTATCTCGTTTGAAATGTTTTAGATTAAATTGTATTTAAAATATTAATATTTCAGGCATCAGATGAGAAAGCACACCTAAAAAATGCACAGAATAATACTGTAGAACAAGATATAAATAAATCTAATAAGGAAGATGTTATTCAATCTTCAAAGGATTCAAATTCTGAAGTTAGAGCAGGTATAATTATGATTTTTTAAGAATTTTAGAACACCAAATAATATTAGTAGTTAAATTATTATTATATTTTTTTATAAATAAATTATACTTTTTTAGGTGATGGTTACATCGTAGAATATTCATTAGAATATGGCTTCCTGAGATTATCACCTGTAGCACGGCAAAGATTGAACATTCCTGTAAAAATTGTTACTTTGGACCCTGTTAATGATAAATGTTTTGGTGATGACTTTTCAAGATTAATACTCGATGAACTTCTAGGATATGACGATTTATTAATGGCGAGTATTAAGACATTGGCAGAACATGAAGATAATCAAGGCTTTTTACGGTAAATAAATTTTGTTTATTTTTCATAGTTTATGTTATTTAATGTTGCTACTGTGATATGACATGTCAATTTTACTATGTAGAAATGTGGTGACTGGAGAACATTATCGATTTGTAAACATGTGGATGGCCAGAACTACATACCTTGCTGCATTTTTTATCATGTTAGTTTTTGTAAGTATATATATTTTTTTAGTAATAATTATATGTAATTTCAAATATTTGTTACCCATAAATCATTCATTAATTATCAACAATTTTAAAGTGCAAGCGATCGGTAAAATTTAGATACTTTTCATTCTTTCAAGTAAAATATTTATTTACCTTCCATCTATTTATATATTAAAACACGTGATTTTATGGTTTATAAATTCATGAATTTTCAAAGTTAAATATTTTATACTACAAAAAGTTATGGTATATTACATATTGTATGTAATATTATTATAATATTGAATTACATTATGACATTTACAGCTCCAGAATGCTCTGGAGCTGTAAATTAGATTTAGTTTCATGTGCTACGTGTTTTCGATCTGGTTATATTCCTCTGACAAGGGGTTGGTATCACACGTATCCACACGACAACTCAGTACGTGTAAAAGGATATGGCAATCAATTCAAAGTAACCACGCACTGAGGTAACACGCGTATAACTCTAACCCCCGTAGTCTCACATCCTGTGATCCCCGTGGAATTGAACCGTCGAGTATAAATCAACGTTATTAGAGGTATCATATTCGTTACAGGGACCCCCAAGTCGGTAATTTTGTATTAAATTGTTCTCAAATATATCTTATTGCAATCAGTAAGAGATAATGATTGTTAAAAATTTTGGTCCGACTTAATTGATTAATGATTGCTACTTTCTTCTATAATTATTTTAATTGCTATAAAAAGATAAAAATTAAATCGATAGTTAATTTTTCTTTTTCTTTTTTAAATGAGTGCTATTTTAAGCACTTTTCGTTATGAGTAATTTGTGCTCGGTAATTGAAAAAGCGATTCACACTTATATTTTATCGGTAGCTATATTCTAATATAAACAGTACACGTGTTTGATGAATTTTGGAATTTCTGGGTATTCCCCGGGTGTTAGGAAGTGATTGGATCATATATGGACCAACGAATACCGCCACTCGTGTTTAATGGGTTTACACCGAGCGAACAAATGAGTAATATTGCATACTACATGATTCAAATGGAATACATTGTATAGCAGTCTACATCTAGTTCATATCTAGAATCCATAGTGGATATAGTGATAAGTCAATTATTCTATGCATGAGCAATTTTAGTAGAAAAAATGTTGAAATATGAAATGATTAATATGATAGAAATTTGCAAGATTTTTTCATCAATTTGAATTATAGTACGAATGAATTATACAAATATTAATGCAGCATAGTATTTAACTTTTCTTTTTTTAAATATTGTTAGCCACTTTTATCATTATTTGTTAACAGTGAATATGGGGTTTATTTCAGAGATAATCAACTTTGCTTGTATTTACAATTATGTACATGTTTAATGGTATGATGAAGTGCCACGCGCAAGTGAACATACACGAATCACGTAACAATATGCAAATAGGTTTACTTACTATATAATAGATGTCGTCATTAGTTCAATAGGCATATATTCTAATATTATTTCGTAATTCAAATATTATTTTGTAATGATTTTAAATTTACGTAAATTTTTATAACAGTAGAAAATTATCATTGCAACACTATAAATCGGTATCATTAATGTTAATACTAATAATAATTATTTTATTATCATATTTGTGAAAGAAATAATTTTGTTTTGCGTTGATAACATAAATTGTGGTATCTAATGTAGCAACTTTATTGTTTTGCCGTATACAAAGACGATTGGATTAAAATAATTTGTTCGAATACGATTTATGCTAATGATCATTTTTTAAGTATCATTTTATAATATTCCGAATGAAATATATTGTCACTCTTTTAGTAAAATTCATCGTAATATTTCACGTAAAATATTGAACGAATGTAATCCACGATTTGAATCCAGTGTCACAACACGTGAATGTTACTTTAGTGCTCGGAGAACGACCTTAGTCGACTGTAAAGTCACGTGTACGGAACAGTCGTCATCTTTGTATTATCCGCATATCCGCATACCCTCTGTCATGTGCACATGTGTACTCTCAATACTATTCTCTTTTCTTTTTCCCAATCGTTTATTTCTTTCTTGTTTTTATTGAAAATCTTTTTAACATTTTAATTTGTCGCTGAGGTTATTTTGTAAATCGGGAGAAATTTTGTAGAAATTTATAAACAATAGAAAAGGTTTAAAAAGATTTAAAAGAAAATATTTGGGGATAGTGAAATCAATTTTTATTTGCATATCAGTAATTATTAAAAGTAAATTTGAATAATACGAAGATGCGTCGAGTTCAGCTGAAATTACTACTGTGTACAGTTAAGTATCTAAAAAAGAAAGTATCTAAAAATACTGAGATGCACGATATATTTTTTTAAATTAACAATAAATAAAATATATTATTTAATATCGTGATTTTCAATGTTAAATATGATTATTATTAATCACACATATTTATTAAAGCGTTGATAACAAGTCTTTTGACTTCGATGGTCATAAAGCCGCCATATGCAATTTTAAAGTTAGCGTTATTTGACGTGGGTAAGGTGTGTGCGATAAATTTGATTGATTATTGAATTTGATTATTATTCATAAATCGTTGAAAGTCATTTTATTTAAACAAAAACTGCAGTTTTCACTACAGAATCATTTCTGTTTAATGAATGTAGTATATTGCTTCTTAAATAGTAGCTTTTAAACGATATTTATTTTAACATGAGATTGAAATGGACGAGATTGACAGATTTACAAAAAGTAGAGTTGATCAGTTGACTTCTAAGAGACTCACGTGAGAAGAAAACTATAATCTGCATTTCATCGCTTTTTAAGGTATCGATAATTATACGGAAAATCAGTAAACGATTTATTTTTTAATATCGAAATAATATTTGATAGGAATATGTATTTGAGAAAGATATTCCTTTCATTTTAATCGAATTAAAATTTTTGTTGTTAGACAGAAATTTTCTTCTTTTTGTTTTTGATCGAATTTTTGTCAGAATATTGCATGTAATTTATTTTTTATTCTTATTTAAAACAAAAATTCTGTCTTTAATATCACATTTTCTGTAAATATCATTGTCCCATCTGTGAAATACGATTAAACGTTACTGTTACCAAGGTTGCCCATAGTAAATAGTGAATTATCTCGAGGGTGCCAGGTGCTAGTTCAATCTGAACCATTCGCAATTCGATTGCACTATTCGCTCTCAACTTGGTAACCGAATGCGATCGTTCAGTTTGCAATTTGTTTCGCGTCGTGTCTTTATTGCGATTTCCTTTTTCGAGATAATAAATATTTTTACCTCTTTGTTACCTATCTATTGATAATGCATTGAAAAAGAAAGAATTTATAAAAATTATATGCTTTTTGCTATCGTTATCACTTTATAAAGTAATCAGAGAGAATTTTAATATAACACTGCTTCGATTCGTAATAGGGCATCATTTATAACGCGAATACAGTATCTTATTCGAATTTGAAATTAAAAGAAAGTATTAGACGAACGTCCATCCAGATAAAAATATATCTGAATTATTTTATTGAATATACTACCGTCGTTTAAAATAAAGATAAACATTTATTTTTATCTTTCGATATTTTTTGATATACGATAAGTTTCGATATTTTTTATATCAATGATACGTATAATCATTAAATTATTATATGAAAAAGCAAATAAAAATTTATTAAATTTTCTATCATCCTTTAAATTTTATTTTTAATTATGTATTTGGTTATTTCAGACTATTTCCATCTCGATACTACTACGGTACTCGCATCACCAAATCTTCATCTTCATTGGTAAGTGATACTTAATAAATGTGTTAAAATGTATCAATTTGATTTTGCTTATTTCAATAATTTTATATCGTGCGTTCGTTTTTGCTATAACTTGAGTTATTTTTTCGCGTACAAGTATTTTTAAACGAAAATCGTGTATTTAATATATCAATGATAATTCAGCTGCAACTTTTAATAGATTTACAGGTTGTTCTTTATATGTTATACAAATCAAATTTTTCAATTCATTTCACGCGCCATTTGTTTACAATAAAGTAGATATGACACTAACACAATATTTATAAACGTCGTTTTAATATCCTTGTTTTTCTTTTTTACGAAATTTTCGATCAGGAAATTTTAAATTAGAGCAGGGATTTTACGTTTTTAGAAATCTTTGCATTCAGATTTGGATGAATATTAGATATTTTAATTTTAGATAAGTTTAATTTTAGATAAGTTAGATCGTCTACCACAGGTCCAAGTGGCAAATTTAACGAAAGAGTTAATTTTAAATATGTTCATTCGCACAAAAAATATACTTTGTGCGGCGGTTTGATTTATCCTTTTTTTATATCGATTAATCTCTGATTTGATCTATCTTATGAAGAGATAACCATCCATTATATCTGATAATTCCGTACGATAGAATTAAGTGATTTCCATATCTGCAATATCTGAATCATTAGTTGATACTGTTTTTCGTAAAAATGTCTTTATCTGTAGAACAAATGCTTAAAAAATATCTATTATCTGAAAATCTGAGATCAATGCCCTCTTATCTTGGTATTGTTCTTAAATTTCCTACATAATTTTTACCCTTCTCTTGAGTTCATATCATTTATATAAGGACGTTGATCAATATTGCGAGAATTCTTAATGATTGTCAGTTGCTTGTAACACACCTTCGTAATAATGAATGGATTACCTTTGTCCACTTTCGAGTTACTCGTCATCTCTTTGACCGTCGTCATCTCGGCGAAGTTTATTTCGATGTTGTACCGACAGTTCACCTATTGGAAGAAGAACAATGTTCCATATATAAGTGGAATACCAGTGTTTGGGACCTCGTGGAAGTTTATATTTCGTGTCCTCAGTTTCCACGACTACTTCAAATTCGTCTACAATTATTATCCGGATGTTAGGTACGTCGGGACAATGGATTTCTTCACGCCAGTCCTGTTCATACGGGATCCAGAACTGATCAAGGAAATAGGGGTGAAGAATTTCGATAATTTCCCTGATCGCCGAGGTTTCGTTACAGAAGAGATGGATCCGATTTTCGGGAAAAATGTTTTCTCCTTGAAAGGTGACCGATGGAGAGAGATGAGGAACGTGCTGAGTCCCTCCTTCACGGCCAATAAGATGAGATTCATATTCGAGTTGATGGGCAAGTGTTCCTCCGATTTTGTCAATTATCTGTACGATCATCCGGAATGTTGCACTATGATAGAGGTGAAAGATGCCTTTACCAGATACTCGAACGACGTTATCGCCACGACAGCTTTTGGCATAAGCGTGGACTCGATGAAAGATCGAGACAACGAGTTCTATAAAAGAGGGCTCGATATTTCCTCGTTTGATGGTGTTTCTCGTCTTGTAAAATTCATGTTGTTCCGGCTGAATCCGTATCTGACGAGAATGGCGGGGATCACGTTTCTATCTAAATCAACGTCGAAGTTTTTCTGTGACGCGATTTCCAAGACGGTGAATGCGAGAAAGGAACAGGGTATCGTTAGACCGGACATGATTCATCTATTGATGCAGGTTGAAAATTTGAAGAAATCTAGTTCGCATCAGATGCACATCGACGATATCGTAGCTCAGGCCTTCATCTTCTTCCTGGCTGGCTTTGACACCGTTTCCACCTTGATATGTTACTTGGTTCATGAGCTGGCTTTGCACGAAGATGTTCAGGAGCGGCTGCGCGACGAGGTAGACAGTTATTTAGAAAAGGGGGACGGGAATATTTCTTACGAGGCCCTATTGGAGATGGAGTACATGGAAATGGTAATATCCGAGACGCTTAGACTGCATCCTCCAACGTCTTTGGTCGATAGAGTTTGCGCGAAGAAGTTCGAGTTACCTCCGGCGGCGCCAGGTTTTAGAGCCGTGACAGTGCATCCCAATCAGAATGTTTGGTTTCCTGTTTTTGGGATACATCGCGATCCCAAGTTTTTCCCTGATCCCGAAAAATTCGATCCTGAACGATTTAATAGCGAAAATAAGGGTACTATCGATCCTTATGCGTATATACCTTTTGGACTTGGACCTAGGAAATGTATTGGAAATCGTTTCGCGTTAATGGAAACCAAGCTCTTGATTGTTAACCTCTTACAGAAGTTTGTTATAAAAGCTAACGAGAAGACGAAAAGACCTATCGTGTATCAGAAAGGTAATTTTACGCTTATACCGAAGACAGGATTGTGGGTTACTTTGGAAAAAAGAGATAATTAGCTATTAAACTATAATTCGTATCGCTATTGAGCTATAATTATGCATAAACGAATGTATAATTTGTTATGTCCTTTTTAACTTAAAATTATTATAAATAAACTGTTGTTGTTTCCCTTTTAATATATATTTATTGTCTAACACAGTGAATACTATTTCGATAAAAATCAAAATTCTGCAGCTGGATATTTTGACAGGTTTGACAGTTTAGCCTCAAACGTACGAATTCTCCCGTTTTCTTCTTCATCTTTGAGAATATCAAATTTAATCGAAAACGCGAGTATTATAATTTTGGAGGGAATTAAAATTAAATGCCATTGTTCGATTTCTTCATTGACATGTTCTTCCATGTATTTCGTTGTTCAAAAACGGAGGAAATTATCTCTTTCGTGTCGTTCATACTCGTTTCATTAATAATCTTGGACGCATAATTTGTTAAATTACATTCAATTGTCTCAGTATCTCGAGTAGTATCTTACACAGTGGCGTACAAATACGCGGCGATGTGACGTATGCCATGGCATCGTTTTGCGTATTCCCTCCTCCTCTGCTCTCGCGATAAGCTTTGTGTTCACTGTCAGTTTATATTTACAACTTTGTAGCTCGGGATCGTCAGTTACTCGTGGACGAGTGAGCCATGGAGATCTTATCAAGTCTGTCGACGTTAATATTAGCGACTTTAATTATCGTGCTCTTATTCAAGTTTTTCGCTGCGGTACACCGGCAGCAAACGTATTGGAAGAATCACAATGTGCCCTACGTCAAAATCTCGTGGTTTTCTAGCCCATCGTGGCAATTCCTCTTCCGTAAAACATCGTTCATCGAGTACAGTAAATTCCTTTACTATTATAATCCAGACGTGAAGTACATTGGAACGATGGATTTCACGCTGCCAAACGTGCTACTTCGTGATCCCGAATTGATCCGAGACGTATCCATAAAGAACTTCGATCATTTCACCGATCACAGATCGATCATCTCCGAGGACGCGGATCCTATGTTCTCGAAGAACGTGTTTTCCCTACGAGGTGAACGCTGGCGACAAATGAGGAACATACTCACCCCATCCTTCACTGCTGCCAAGATGAAGTTCATATTCCAATTGTCATCGAAGTGCTCCGAACAATTCGTGGATTATCTGTTGGATCATCCTAAATATTTAACATCGATCGACGCCAGGGACATGTTCAACAGATTTACCATCGACGTGATCGCATCTGTTGCTTTCGGAGTCAATGTCAATTCGATGAAAGACAGAGAGAACGAGTTCTTCGTGAAAGGAAAGGACGTCTTTTCTAGTTCGTTCAACAGTATGGTTAAGCTGTTGGCACTGCGTTTCTTCCCACGATTAGTGAAATTGGCAGGCATCACTGTCATCCCAACTGACACTACGAACTTCTTCCGCAAGGTTATAGCGAATAATCTGAAAGAACGCAAGGAACAGGATATCGTGAGGCCCGATATGCTGCATCTGTTAACCCAGGCCAAAGACAAAACGACCACTCATGAACTCACTATCGACGATATCACTTCACAGGCGTTCCTTTTCTTCTTGGGTGGCTCCGACTCACTCGCTAATCTCCTGTGCTACATGGTACACGAGTTGGCCGTGAATCCGAATATCCAAGAGAGGCTGCACGAGGAGGTGAATCATTATTTCGAGGAAATGAAAGGGGAGATTTCTTACGAAACATTGTCCAAAATGGAGTACATGGATATGGTGATATCGGAGACTCTAAGAAAGTACCCGTCCTTGGTGTTTATCGATAGGGTCTGCACGAAAAAATTCGAATTCCCGCCAGCGGCGCCTGGATACGACGGCGCCATTTTGTATCCGGATGAAACCATTTGGATTCCCGTGTACGCGATGCATCACGATCCAAAGTATTTCCCTGAACCAGAGAAATTCGATCCTGAACGATTTAGTGCGAAGAATAAAGACAACATCGTCCCCTACGCGTACTTACCGTTTGGCACTGGGCCTCGGAAATGTATCGGCGATCGTTTCGTTCAGATGCTAGTTAAAATCTTGATGGCCGAGTTTTTGCACAAATTTAAAATCAAGACTACGGAGAAGACGCAGAATCCTCTGGTATTTAGAATAGATAGCTTCACGCCGTTCCCCGAGAAGGGATTCTGGATTGGGTTGGAGAGAAGATCTTAGATGTATTCGAAGACTTCGAATTATGTACTATTTGAGTTTGTAATTATCATTTGGGTGATTTCTATGAATAAAATTAGGGAAAAAATTAAAAAAAAAGAAAAAATATTGAAATTGGAATGTTTTATATGTATTATCTGTTACTATATCTCGAAGTAACAGAAGCAAAACTGTACACCAAATTATGCACGTGTAGG